GGGCATGTGCTCAACTGTGTACATAGCAGCATTGTTTGTCATAGCCAGAATCTGGAAACAACCTGAATGCCCCTTGACTGAAGAATGGATAAGGAAAATGTGGTCCATTTACACAATGGAGTACTACACAGCAGAAAAAAATAATGGCATCTTGACATTTATGGGCAAATAGATGGACCTAGAAAGACGAATAGGATATGTACTCACTCATCAGAGGGTTTTTAGACATAAAACAAAGAAAATCAGCCTATAATTTATAATCCTAGAGAACCTAGAAAACAATGAGGACCCTAAGAGAGACATACATGGATCTAATCTACATGGGCAGTAGAAAAAGACAAGATCTCCCAAGTAAATTGGGAGATGGTAGAAGGAAAGGGAAGAGGGAGGGAGGGGAGCAGAGAAAAGTTAACAGCTCAATAAAAACCACAATAAAAAATAAAAAAATATTATGCCATCAAACTTTCACTACTGATAAACATTTTGAGCAAAGTTTCAGTGTACAAAAGCAATTCACAAAAAAATCAATAGCCTTCCTATGTACAAATTACAAATGAACTGAGCAAGTAATTAGGGAAATAACACCTTTCACAGTAGCTTTAAAAATATGAAATATCTTGGGATAACTATAACTAAAGAAGTAAAATATTTGTATTGTTAAAAAATTCAAGTCATTGAAGAAAGAGATTGAAGAAGATATCAGAAGATGGAAAGATCTCACATGCTCATGGATGCCAGGATTAATATGGTATAAATGGCTATCCTACCAAAAGCAATCTACAGATTTAATGTAATCTCTATCAAAATTGCAACCTAATTTTTCACAGACCTTAAAGAACAGTTTTCATGTTCATGTGAACACACACACACACACACACACACACACACACACACACACACACACAAGAAAAACAAAAACAAATCAAGAAAGTTGTGTCATCACCCTTGATTTCAAGTTGTACTTCAAAGCAATAGTAATTAAAACAGCTTGGTATTGGGATAAAAACTGATACCTTGATCAATGGCATCAAATTGAAGTTCCAGACGTAAATCCACATACCTGTGGCCAAAATATACACTGGAAAAAATACAGTATCTTCAGCAAATGGTGCTGCTCAAACTGGGTGTCTGCATGTAAAATATTTGGTATAGATCCATACTTATCATCCTGTACAAAACTCAACTCCAAATTTATCAAAGACTTCAACATAAAACCAGATACACTAAAACTAATGAAAGAGAACGTGGGAAATATCCTTGAACTCACTGGCACAGAGAAAGACTTTCTAAGCAGAATACCACTAGTACAGGCACAAAATTAAAAAATAAATAAACGGGACCTCATGAAACTGAGAATATTCTGTATGGTAAAAGATGCCATCATGGAGACAAAGTGGCAACCTATAGAATAGAAAAAGATTTTTGTCAACTTCACATCTGATAGAGCCTAATATCAAAAATTTATCAAGTAGTCATGAAACTAGAAATTCAGAAAACAAATAACCTATTAAAAACGGGGTACAGATCAAAACAGAATTTTCAATAGAGGAAATTCAAATGACTGAGAAAGGCTTAAGAAAATATTCAACATCTGTATTCATAATGGTAATCAAAACTACTTTGATTTCATCTTGCAACCCATGAGGATGTCTAAGATCAATAAAACAATTGACATCTCACTCTGGCTAGACTATGGAATAAAGGGACCAGTCATCCATTGCTGATGGAAGTACAAACTTGAAAAGACATTATGGAAATCAGTGTGACAGTTCCTCAGGATGATGGAAATTGATATTCAACAAGATCCAGCTATAACTGTTCTTAGGTATTTACCAAAAGGACATTTCAGCCTACCACAGAGACACTTGCTCAATATATTCATTGTTGCTCTATTCACAATAGCCAGAAATTGGGAACAACCTATGTGTCCCTCGACAGATGAATACATAAAGAAAATGTGGTACATGTACACAATGAAATATTCCTATGCTATTAATGGGATCTTTTCTTTCTGGTTGCTTTACCTTATTCTGATATGTTTTTATCTTTATATTATATTGTAATCCATTAAAAAAAAACCTGTATGTTTTCTAATGAGAATCAGAAATGAGGAGAATCCCAATGGGAGGGAACGTGAGGATCAGGAAGGAATAGATGGAGGGGATGCAGTAATCAGGACATATTATATGAAAAAAAAATCTGCTTTCAGTAAAAGGAAAAAAATAAAAGGAAGAATCTTAGGTTTAGCAAACCCATCTTTCAAAAATGAAGACAAGAAGATTTCTCCTGATAGAAAGGCTGAGACTTTGTGGCTTGCAGATCTGTCTTGCAAGAAGTATTTTAGAGGACTGGGAACAAGACTTGGCCAGTAGAGTATTTGCTGTCCAAGAAGGAAGACCTGAGTTCAGCCCCCAGGATTTGTCTAAGAAAGTCAGGTGAAGTGGTGCACAACTCGAGTCCTAACGATGGGGAAGTGGAGCTAGGAGATTCTCTGGGCTTCACTGACTAGCTAACCTAGCTCAACCAGGGAGTTCCTGGTGCAGTGAGAGACCCTGCTACACATAATAGACAGTTACGAGAAATATAGTCGATGTCAACCCCTGACCTTCATGTGCCTGCATATACAAGTATGCGCTCAACTGAATATATACTTGCACACATGGATGGACATGTATACAGACATACATCCAAAACTGTCTTAAGTGAAAAAAGAAATACTTACGAGAATTCTTTAGGCTGAGATCAAGTGCTAATTCAAATAGAGACATTCAAAAAAGATGACCAGCAAAGCTATTTAAGTCGCTATCTATGAAAGACCACACAAATGTATACTTCGTCATATTCATTTACAGAAAAATTTTAATAATATGTATTAAAAGGCTGGAGTTGCCGGGTGATAGTGGCACACGCTTTTAATCCCAGCACTCAGGAGGCAAAGGCAGGCAGATGTCTGTGAGTACAAGTCCAGCCTAATCTACAGAGCGAGTTCCAGGATAGGTTCCAAAGCTACAGAGAAACCCTGTCTCAAAAAAACTAAACTAAACTAAACAAAGCAAAACAAAAGAAGACTGGAACAATGGCTCAGTGGTTAAGAGTTCTTGTGACTTTTGCAGAGGATTAGAATTTGGTTCCCAGCACCCACGTCAGGTGACTCACAACCACTTACAACTCCAGCTTCCATCACCTTCTGCAGACCTCTGAAGATAACTTTCATGCTGTATGTATTCTATATTATAGCACAGAAATATATGCAGAAGTTGAGCAATATATTATCAAATAAACAATGGATCGATGAACCAATCATAAAAGAAATTAAAAATTACTGGAGAGGAATGAAAACAAATTTTCAAGACAAAGCAAAATTGAAAAACAACAAAAATTGTATGGGGTGTGGCAAAAGAAATACCCAGATAAAAATTTGTAACTATAAACACCTACATTATAAGTGAGAAATATCTCATATCATGAGTGTATCTTTCACTGTAATGGGAAAACAATACTAACCTGCACCAAGCGAAAGACAATTCTAAAATTTAGATTAGAAATAAATGAAAAAGAACAGAAAAGGATAAAATAAGGTCAATGAAGTCCAACATTGAAAAGATCAACAAAATGAACACTTTCACAAAGAAACAGGAAATAGCCCTCAACTGAAAAACTTAATAAATAAAAGCTGGGAAATCATTAAGGACCTAGCGGAAATAAGGAGGTCACTGCGGGAAACTAGTACCCTCAATGTGCCAACAAATTAGACAGTTTAGCAGAAATGGACACATTCCTAGAACATCACTTCAACGAATGCTGACAAGCCATCTGACAAACTCAACATTCCTTCAAGATAAAACACAGTCAAATGAATTAGAAGCAGACTTCCTCAATATGATAAAGGACATCTGCAAAGAAATCACAGCTAGAGTTATAGCTAAAGATGAAAGGCTGAATCTTTGCCCTATGACAAGGAGCAAGATTAAGATATCTTCCCTCTTCATTGTACTTATCTGGACAATTTGTCAAGCAAAAAAGTAACAGAAAATAAAAAGAATAACTAGGTTATGAAGAAAAATGTGAAACTATAGAGATCATCTTTATAGGTGGCACATCTGCTATAAAACCTCCTGAAGTGTTCCATAAAAATAATTAGAACGAATAAATGAATTTTTCAAGGCTGTAGAGTAAAGGCCCAATGTTAAAAATCAATTGTAGTTTTACAAACGGGCAATGACAATTTACAAATGAAATTAAGAACATAATTTTACTCACATTAGTACAAAAAAAATAAAAAACCCTTAAAGACTCAGGGTGGAGAAATACGACTCCATTGTTAAGAAGATTCACCACTCTTCTGGAGGACCTGAGTTTGGTTAGCCATAACCTGTGTGGGGCTGACTCACAACCTGGTGTAAATCCAGCTGCAGGAGACTCAACTTTTTTCTGATTGCTGCAGGCATGTGTAGACATATATACATAGAAAAGATATCATTACAAACTCAATAAACTAAGTATGAAAACTATTGAACACCATTGAAAGACATTAAAGAATATCTAAATAAATGAAAAATTCTATACTTAGGTATTAAAGATATGCTATTATTATTATTATTATTATTTTGAGATAGCATTGCAGCCCTGGTTGTTCTGGAATTTGCTATGTAGACCAAGCAGCTTGAACTCAGAGATTCTCCTGCCTTTGCCTCCCAAGTACTGGCTTTAAAGATGTGCACCACCACCGCCGGGCTAACGGCACATTATTTTTAAGATAAAACCATTTCTTGGACTGACCTACAGATCTGATAAAATCTATATCAAAACCCACTGATTATTTTGGAGACATTAACAAAAGGACATAAAATTGATACAGAAATCAAAGAGTTTAAGAAATCCAGAACAGTCTTTAAAAAGCATAAAGGCTGAGGGTCCATATTTGTATTTCAAAATTCACTGGCCAGCCGCAGCAGACAAGACAGAAGTGTACTAGCACAAAAATCGAATTATAAGTCAACTGAATATAACCAAGAAATAAAATCTTGCATTTATTCATCGTCATTTTTGATAAGCGTGTCAAAACTACTCACTGGGAGACTAAGAGTCTCCTTAACAAATGATGCTGAGATAACTGAGTATCCACCTACAAAACAATGAAGCTGGCCTTCCTTTTAATCTAGCACACAAAAGTTAACAGAAAAACCAATCACTGATCAGACTGAGCTGAATAAATTAGCATCTTTAGAGGAAAACAGGTCTAAATTTTCATTCTCCTCAGTTAGGCAATGATCTCTTACATGTGACAACAAAAGTACAACTGTCAGGAAATACTAAGTTAGATTACACAAAATTATGAATTCTTGCAGTAAATAATACCGTCAATAAAATGAAAATATACACAACAAATATAATATTTGCAAATCATTAAGAAAACATCAGTATTTATAACAAAAGAAACACAACAAAATAAAGTAACATAGCTAGCAACTAGCAAAAGATAGGAATTGACATTGTATGCATGAGAAGTATTGTTTAAGAGATACATTCACATATAAAATGTTTTCAGAAATATTTCTATTATTTCATCATCAGCCAAGAAGATGACAGATGGTGCAATAAACAATTTTGTCTGAGCCATGAAAGTACAGGATATGTCTTCAGTACTCCATGGAGTTTAGAATTCAGGATCTGAGATAATTAAACTTCTATGTGATCAAAAATTTTTAATTGAAAATTATTTTTTTTTCACACAACGTAATCTGATCACACCCTGCCCCTACTTCCAGGTCCTCTCCATATTCCCACGCATCCAATTCCATACTTTCTTTCCTTAGAAAATGAACAGGCCAATTAAAAAGGTCGAAAAGACAGAATAAAAAAAGAGAGAGAGAGAGAAAGCACAAGAAATGGCCAAATAAGTCTACAAAAATACTGCTGAATTCATTTTGTGAACAGCTTATGGGCATGGGGCCTGCCTGTGAGTGTAGTTTATAATACCCATTGGCTTCATTGGAGAAAATTGATTTTTTTCTCCAGTGGTTGCCAGTTTGGAGACAGCTTCTTGGTTAGGGATGGGAGCTCCTGTCTACTTCGCCCCCTCCCGCCTCACCCAAGGACCCTGTCTGACTTAAGGCAGTGCAAGCCGTGTGTAGCCTGCTCAGTCTGCGTGAGTTCACAAAGCATCAGTCCTGTTGTTCCTGTAAGACGCTGTCTCCATCTTGTAGTCCATCCTCTCTGGACTCTTACAATCTTTCCATCTCTTGCTTTGCATAGTTCCCTGAGCTCTGAGGGGAGAGGTTTGCTGACCTGCCATTCAGAACTGAGTGTTTCAAGTCTCTCCGCTCTCCACACATGTTCACTTGTGGGTCTCTGTATTAGTTTCCATCTTCTCTGATGATGGCTGAGCCAGAAATTGATCTGTTGCTGTAACAGAATGTGGTTAGAAATCATTTTATTGTTATAATCACGGGTTTTCCCCTGGGTGTATAGCCCCCTAGCAAGTCTCAGGCTCTTGGTTACCTGAGTGGTGTCAGACATGGGTACCATACATTATTGAGTGGGACTTAAATTCAATCCGATGGTGGTTGGTTACTCTAAGAACTTCTGGGCCACAATTAACCAGTGTATCATGCAGGCAGGTCACCACTGTAGAGTACAGGTTTTGTGGGTAAATTGGTATTTAGCTTTCTCCTCTGGTAGTGTGCAGAGTATCTTCTAGTACCATGAACACTAGTTAGCAGGGGTGAAGACTCTACTCAATCTCTCCATGTTCAATAAGATATTTACGAGTTACCTTCAGTAATAGGGCCCTTTTTTATTTTTGTGGAGAGCTGCCTGCAGCCTTGGAAATATCCTGAGTAGGTTTTTTTTTGTGGGGTTTCCTTGGCCAAGTAGTCAAATAGCTGTACCCCATTCCTGGCACTGAGGATCTTACTGGGTGGATGTCTAGTTGGGGCATCATCCCCCCCCATTACACGTCGATTCCACTTAGATTCCTTTCCTTTCATATATGTATATATTTTAGGCAGCTTCTACTGTAGCAGTGTTCCCTATATCCACTCAAATGGCCCTAACTGTTAATTGCCCTCCATTTCTTCTCCACCTCCTACTCTGCTGATCGTCTCCCTCCAGTCTCCCCAGTCTCCCCCGTCTCCCCATAACTACATATCTAGTTTGTCTTCCTTGGGATAGTCTCCCTTCCCCCACTGTCGCTTACCCTATATCTTTCCTCTGTGGCTACATGGATTGTAGTATGACTACTGAAGGCTTAACAACTAACATTTTTTGGAGTCTGGGTTACCTCACTCAGGATGAGTATTTTTCAATCATTTACCTGAATATTTTATGATTTTTAAAAAAACTGTAGAGTAGACACAAAAAGAGGAATATGGTATGCACTCACTCATAAGTGGATTCTAGCCATAATTAAAGGTCTTTGAGTCTATTATTCGTGATCCTAGAGAAGCTAAATAAGAAGGTGACTCTGAAGAAAATCATGTAGTTATTCTCCTGGATATTGGAAGTAGACAAGATTGCCAGGCAATCTTGGGTGCACGGGGAGGGGGGGAGGGTTAGAGAGAGGGGACTAGGGGAGGATTGGGGAAAGCTTGGGGGATTGGGATGGAGGGGAGGGAGGAAGGATGGATATGGGAGCAGGGAAGTATATATCTCAACTAAGGGAGCCATTTTAGGGTTTACAAGACACTTGATTCTAGAGGGGTTCTCAGGCCCAAGGAGAGATCCCCAGATTGTTCCCTGGACAGCAGAGGAGAGGGTGCCTGAACTGGCCTTGGCCCATAATCATACTGATGAATATTTTGCATATCACCATAGAACCTTCATCTGGTGATGGATGGAGATTGAGACAGAGACCCACATTGGAGCACTGGACTGAGCCCCCAAGGTCCAAATAAGGAACAGAAGGAGGGAGAACATGAACAAGGAAGGCAGGACCATGAGGAGTGCATTCACCCACTGATACAAGGGGACTGATTTAATGAGAACTCACCAAGGCCAGCTGGACTAGGACTGAATGAGCATGTGATCAATTCTCTGAATGTGGCTGGCACGGGGACTGTCTGAGAAGCCATTGATAATGACACTGGGTCTTGTTTCCTCTACACGTACTGGCTTTTTGGGATCCTGGTCTGTTTGGATGCTCACCTTCCTAGACCAGGAGGGAGGGGGAGGAACTTGAACTTCCCACAGGACAGGAAACCCTGACTGTTCTTAGGGCTGAAGAGGGAGGAGGAGGAGGAGTGGGAGGGTATCGGGAGGAGGGGCAGAAGTGGAAACTTTTATAAATTAATAAAAAAACTGTAGAGTAACATTCTATTGTATAAATGTACCACATTTTCATTATCCATTTACCTCTTGATGAACATCTATGCTTTTTCCAATTACTGGCATTATGATTATAGCAACAGTGAACATGAATGAGCAAGTGTCTCTGTAGTAGGATGTATATCCTTTGGGTATGTGCTAAGAATGGTACTTGAGGTAGTTTGATTTCTATCTTCCTGAGGAACTACCACACTGAAGTGGTTTGCACTTCTTTTAGCAATGGATGATGTTCTCCTTACTCCACATCCTCACCAGCAAGATCTGTCATTTGTTTTTATTGATTTTGGCCATTCTGACTGATGTAAGATGAAATCTCAAAGTAGTTTGGATTTGTATTTCCCAATTGACTAAGTATATTGAATATTTCTCTATTTCTCAGCCATTTGTGTTTCATTGTTTGAGAACTATTTAGCTTTGTATCCTATTTTAAAATTGGGTTGTTTGCTTTCTTGATGCCCATTTTTTACTTCTTTATATATTTTAGATATCAACTCTCCATTAAATGAGTAATTGAGAAAGATTATTTTCCCACACTGTAGCCTGCTGCTTTATTAGAATGACTGTGTCTTTAGCCATACAGAAGCCTTTCAATAGAAATTATTGTCATTAGAATATGTGTTGCTCTCCCTGGTATCCTACAGTAGTTTCTAAAATAAATACTCACAGGTTTATTTTCCTTTGGAGTAACTCCTCAAGCATCATTTATTCTGTCTTTGTAAGTATCTGTTGAATTCACAGGGGGACAGGAAAATCTGAATTTGTGATGTAAACTGCGTTGTAAACTGAACTTTCCCAGCCTATTTGTTGCAGAGGTGGAAAATTTCTTGTAGTTCTGCACACATAGTAAAAGACACGAAAGGTCTCTCTTTTCCTCTTTCATCTGAGTGCCACATGGCTCAGCTCCTTGGCAGCACAGATCTCAGAATCAGATGGGCAGCGTGGGCCAGGCAATCATATCCTCTGTGTCCTTGCTGGTTATCAAGTGATTGATATCATGAGAAATCACACTCCAGCTGGGCTTTGCAGAGGCCTACTTGATCTACATAACTGACTTAAGAACAGACACTGAAAAAACATTTTTTAAAAAAAAATTTAGTGTGAAAATAAAATCTCTACTGATTCTCATATGTATACTGCTAAGTAAATAAATTGATGATTACTAAGTAGTATCTAGAATCAGGAAAAACCAAGTAGCTTAGAGCGAGAAACCAACTAGGGCCTTCACTGTCTATTATTAATAGTTGAGTCAGTATTAATAGTTTGTTGCTGTAATAATCTATTCACTACAAAGATGTTTATTGTCTTAGGTCAGGGCTCAACTGTCCCATTTAGACCTCTCTGGAATAGTGTGTCTAAAAGAGAAGACGGTGAACACTATGTGTGTGTGGCGGCGGGGGGGGGGGGGGGGTTCACAATCATCACATAAGTTTTATTTATTTATTTATTTTTTTAGTTTGGATGAGAGAAGAAAGAAAGAGAGAACTTCAGCGTTCCTCTGGAATTACTCCTCAGTTTTGATAAGTGACGGTAGTGATTGATGCCCCCACCACCGTACCACTGCTCCAATGCTCTTGGTTAGGCCATTGACACTTGCCCGTCCTTAGTCACAAGGATGAACAACTAATCTACCTTGAGCTTCTAAGATGTGAGCAGACCATTGGTGATGCTGGAGGATGGAAAATGGTGAGGAGTATTCCGTTTGGTTTTCTGTTATTTGCCTGAGAGTCATGGTATAAAGAGACAAAGTCAGAATTCATTCTGCCAGCCCTATTAGGAGAATCTAAAACTGCCAATTTTGGAGGCCTTATTATAGAAAGTCAAGCAGAGAACTATAAAAGAAATAAAAGACCTTTGCTCCTACCATTTAAGGCATTGCAAATCAAATCTTCTCCAAATTTTGTTTGTAAGACATATGTGTATACATGTAAATATATATATATACATATATATATGTATATATGATTTTCACAATAGCTAGTGAATGTGTTTAACACACATCTCAGTCTGTTTTACTAAGCATTTGTTGTTGTTGTTTCTTATTGGTGATATAGTCAAAGAATTATTACCTAGACAATAGAGAATCAAGCGCTTATTTATCAAAGAGAACAGTGTATGTATTCACGTACACTAGACTGTTGATCATGAAGAAATTTTATCACTTACTAATGGTGTGTGTGCTTTCAGTGAGTGGTGTGGAGTGTGACCCTGGTAGCAACAGATGCTTGGTTTCAATGACTAAGCCACAGACAGACAATCATGTACGAGTTTAGTGTTTTATTTAGGGCCTAACTTATCCATTTTACACCGTGAGATTCTGAGACATTATGAAAATCTACTTCAAAGCCTTAACTCGCCCTAATAGCAAATGACAAGAATTACTGACATGCTTGCTCCTTCTGTCCTCAACAAAGGGTCAGCAATGTCTGCTGAAGAGCACAGATGGCAGCAGCTGCAATTTCCCCAATTTTCTATAATTTCCTTTGACCTTTGATCTTCAAAGGCACAAGGACAGTGTCCTTAAAAGCGGCATCCCCCCACCTAGATAAGCTGTACTTCTGTGCTGCAGTAAACCTAACATAACCTTTGTCTCGTCCCCTTGACGCTCCTGTTCCAACTGCAGGGATGTCAGTGACTTCACCCTATCAGCAAGTTCCTTCACATACTTCTATTTACACCCCAGAAAACTAGTTCATTCTTGGTTTGGTTTCTTCCCTGCAACACACCATTGTGAAGGCCAGCTTGGAAACAGATTTAAGGATTTTCTTTTGAAAGCTAGAACTTGTGTCTAATTTTTTTCAGAGAATAAGCCTCTATCATTTCAGATCTGATTGTCTGATTTAGTCTTGGAGTCTCAAGCAATGGATACATGGTTGGAGGGAAAAAGTCTTGGAAAGCATTCACTTGATGTTATCAAAGTGTAACTCTGGCTCACAGTCCAGGCCTTCTAATAGGTCCAATTAGTAGATTGAGTTACCTGAATTGGCTTCCTCCATCTTTACCCTTCTCTCCCATCCATCTTTTGGTAAAAGTTGTATAAACTTGTTTCTCATAGATTCAAGTGATTGGCCACCTGATCCCCAGCTGGTGGTGCTCTGTTGGGAGGTCCTGGAACTTCTAGGAAGTGCTGTATTTCTGGCAGGCCTTAAAATTTACCTGTTTCCGGTCTCATCTGTTTCCTGACCTGCTGAGATGTGAGGTGCTCTTCTGACATATGAAGTCTAACACTCCTTCTCCACCATATTAGACAGGAGCTGTAAATTAAATAAAAACTGTTCTCCTTTAAGATTCTCCTGCCAGGCATTTTGTCACAGTAGTGGGAAAAGTTAATGTGCCTTTCAGTATCTAAAATATCAATAGAACCCTACCACTTCACCATAAACACTTCTTGACCTATTTGTGAACGTGGAGTCCCATCTCTAATACTTTTTGTTAAACACCAATTGCAGTTTATAGTAAAAAAAAAGTTGCCTCAGTTTCTCAAAGCAATAATTTGAACTAACCATGAGAGTCCAAAGTCCTGTTAATAACAATAATGAAAATAATAAAATAACTTTTCCACATGGGCTCCACATTTTCTTCTCATGCCCTAAGTTAAAGTATTTCAGACAGTTTCCACTTTCTTATCTGGCACCTCATTGCTCTCTTATTTCCTAATGTATTTCCAAGACCCCATTCTAGTTTGCTTTATGTTATTATAATAAACAACAAAAGCAACTTGGGCAGGAAAGGGTCTAGTTGGCTTATTTATTCACCTCACAGTACATCATTGAAGGAAGTCATGGCAGAAACTGAAGCAGAGACTATGGAGGAATACTGTTTACTGCCCTTGTTTCAACGCCTTGCTTAGGCTGCTTTCTTATGAAACCCAGGGCCACCATCCCAGGGGTGGTACTGACCACCATAAGTTGCCTCTCTCATTAATCATTAATCAGGAAAATACCATCAGGTATAATTAGAGAGTATGCTGCTGGAGGGTCCCGTTTCCCAGGTGACTCTAGCTTGTTTCAAGTTAACAAAATTATATCCCCACAAAGTCAAGTCCATGTATGACTTCCAAATCTCCATCAATTATTTTACTGGAAGACAAATCCCAAATGTCAAACATCTGCTTGGCCATTTGCAAAGTTCTCCTCACTGGGTTCCCGTTTCCTAGTCTCTCCCTTTTCCTCCTCATTGATGGGTGATTCTTCCAAAACTCTTCTCAGAGCATCTGTGCACATTCTTTCCCTGTCAGTTCACACAATAAGGATTTCCTAACATCAGCTTTTGGCACTTCAGAGCCCCCTCAATGTTGACTCTTAGTACTGGTACAGAATAAGGATGAGTCATTCTTCAGCACCACCTACCTTGAGAGACACCCTTTCGCCTCTGCCCATGAGAGGTCAGCCTCAAACCTTTGGAAACCTCTTTCTTCAAGCCTCTCATTGAAAGTACCCTTTCATTTTTGTTTGTTTGTTTGTTTTTGAGTTTTTTATCAAATATTGACTTGTATTTATGTGGATTGCTTTTTGTAAGTTCCTTAAGATTCAGTAATTCATATTTTTCTTCTCTTTGCAGAGAGCACACTATAGTAAAAGTTAGTGTCTATAATAAAGACACTGAATAGATACACTGAATAAATCTCAGATTTATTGCTAATTTTATACAAGTGCAGCCAGGGCACAGCTTACAGTACTCTACAATGTTTAACTTCTGTCACAGATATTTGACTTTTCTAAGTGGGAAGGCATTTGCTCCCACTACTCTGTATATATAACTCTGTGCAACACCAGACTGAATTAATACGGGACATGTACCATGGATATCTTCCTAATATACATGACTCCCTTATGATGATACAAATGATTTTGCAGGCTGCATCTCCCACTAAATAGTAGGATGATATTGATCATAGTACATGATCTCTATGCATATGTTTTCTCGCTTGAAGGGGGAGAATAAATTCTAGACTGGTGTTGTAAAAAAATAAGTAGCATAGTACTATGAAGTAGAGCCATAGAGGAAGTGCTTCATACACAGGAGCTGCTATGAACATTGTCTATGATGTCTATTTATTTCTTAGTCAAAATGTGTTCTTTCCTACCAAATGAGACACATGAAATTTTATGTGACTCTGGGCATGACTGCATTTTTAGATTCATTATGTTTTGTGTTCCCTGATTTTAACCACTTGCTGATAATTCTATCTTGCTTTGAATCACAAATTCTGCCATGATGCCTATTCATCAAACTGTAAAAGGACAGACACACTGGCAATAAGATTTTCCTTGCGATACAGACTAGTTCTGCTTGGGCAGCACAGTCCCACCCAGGTCAAGTCCCGATTTTTATTGAAGTCTCCTGATAGACACATTTTGCTCTATTCCTCTATCTTAGTGAATTACACATATATGGTAGAATGTTGTATAATTAATAACAAGGTCAAATGAACCCCTAAGCCATCTTTCTAACTTTCTACAGTGGGTGGTCTGTGCAACAGAGGTCACTAATTTCATACCTATCCCATTGCCGTGTTAGGCCTAACTGCACAGTATTTAAGCTTATGTCTATATAGTGATTTTCAGATTAGAAAGCATTCTTACCACGTATCAATTTCCAGTTTTTCCAAAAGCTCAAGGAAGGCAAGAAAGATAGCATAATTCAGAATAGTGAATGAAAAAATAAAAACCAAGACTGTAACAGAACAACTTACACGCAATGACATGACTAATGTTCCACTACATAGCTGTAGTTTTCATAGGGAGAGAAATTTTTTGGGGTTGCTCTATTTTTAAATTTGGTAATTCAGAAACGAAACTATGAATCCTTTCTTAAGTCATTTGAATTTTACTCATGTGAAAATGCCTCTCTGAAGAGTCTCGATTCTAGAGGGCCGAAGAATGAGATAAGTAAAAGAGACAGAACATCTGGGGAGACAGCTCCGACAGGAGTGAGAACTTGAGCTTGGATCCCCAGCACCCAGCAATGGGGAGGCAGAGGCAGGTAGATCCCTTGAGCCCATTGATCAAGCCAGTCTAGCTGAATTAGTGAGCAACAAATTCAGCAAGAGATTTCATCTCAAAAACCACAATGGTGAGCAACCAAGAATGACTCTCAACATTAACTGATGGCTTCCATAAACACACACTTGCGCATGTACTTGCACACACACACAAATATGTACACAAAGCACACACATGCACGCACAATATTTAAACATTTACTTATTTATCTATTTATTTATATATGTTTATTTATTTTTGAATCAGAGGTAGTCATAGCCCTGATCTTTCTCTACATGTCAGACTGGCCACAAATTTCCAGAGATCTGCTTGATTCTGACTCCAGCAAGCTAGGATCAAAGATGTTCACCATTGTGAACTTTTATTTTGAATAACAAACAGTAAGGCAAACAAAAGTTTCTGTTCTTTACTCCTGGCAAGAACTAGATTGAGATTTTTCTAACTCTGTCAAAATATGTTATATGTGAAATTGAAAGAGACCTTTTCTTCCCGAGATGTCCTGAGGCTGACACACACAGTGGAAAGAATGCTAACATTGCTTGCTGTTGGTTTTTGAGGCACTAAACCAGGCAACCTGATACTGTTGCTGGGATCTTCTAACTCAACCAAACTAGTACATGTTAATTAGCGAACTCATTATATATACTTGTTCAGAATAGAAAAGGATGTATTTTTTCTCTTTTTAATAATCCAATCTAACTTCAATGTTTGCTAATGCTTTAAATATCTTAGCCCCAATCTAGATATACTAAACTATATATTAATTTCTGTCTGTAGTTTTAAGAAGCTTACCATAGAGAAAATACTTAATCTCTGTTATTATAAATGTCTATGACATATTTTTAGACTAAATTGTTCCCTTTTGGTGGATTTTGCCCCTTAGCTCTTCTTATGCTTTTCTGAGGCATCCTAAGAAGTCCATGGTCCTGTATGGATAGAGAATACTCACCTTAAGAGGAGGCTTTGATCTTGGTCCAACCTCAGAGTCCAGCTTAGCTGTGTCCACATAGCAGCTGTTGGGTACTGTGTCTGTGTCCGGACTGTGGCCTCCCCTTGTGGGCCTTTGTGACGGGTCTGCTCTTCTGGGGCTCTGCTCTTTCCTGGGTTTTCACTGAATCTTTCCAATGCCTCGGTGGCCCAGGAAAAGCTCTAACTTTCTCTTTTGAATGTCAGAAAAACTGCTTTTTAGCAGTTCGGGGTTTAAATTTTTGAACTCAGTATTTGGCGTTTAGAATGCCTTGCGTTTTTCTTTAGAAAACTGTAGCTTGGATCCAAGCTTCATAGCTTGGATGAAGTTTTTAGATAAGGGTCAAGTGCATGGCCTGGGTTAAGCCACTGAAACAGTAGCTTTGTTTTCTTGAATGACTGGAGCCTTGGGAGTTTAAGCAGGGTTTTGGTTTTTAGAGGGGTAGTCTAGTGTTTTCCTGTTGCCGATTTGATGACTGTAACAAATAAAATTTTTATGCGTTTATTAAAAATCAAGTTAAATGGGAACTCTGTATTGACATCTTATTATTACTTCTTTAAAAATTGTGACATTGAGAACCGAACCCATGGTCTTGAGTATGCCACATGAACATGCTACCATGTTCATGTTACCTCCCGATCCCAGGCCTCTGTTAAAGCTGCATTTAGAGGGCTCTATTTTACCCTCAAGCTATGTTCTTTTGCATTTAAAATGTTTTAATTGAAATTGTGTTCCAAAATTATATTATTTGTAAAATAAAAAGCTATAACTGTAACTTTAAATCTTAGCTTGTTGCTTTGTGGGGATTTTCTTTCTGTTGTTGTCTGTTCCATGAACAGGGTCTAGTCTTGCAGCCCAGGCTTTGTCTCAAACTCACGATCCTTCTGCCTCGGTCTCCTGAGTGTTGAGATGACAGGCAAGTGGCGTCACACCCACCTCACAATGTTTCTGGTGTTCTTATTCGCATTCTTTTTATAATTCAATGAAATTCAAATATTTAAAGCCAGTTGGCATACATGATCACATCATGGAAGATGTTTTACCTTGGCAATGACAACACTACGAAAAGTCGCTGCATGGGAAATCTTCGTGTATCATGTAGTCACCCCCGCCCCCAAGGCTTCTAGTACTATGAAAGGAGGTGGTGACGTCAGTCACCTCATGGGTTTGTTGAGTAGGTTCCATTATACTATGTTCATAAAAGATCTGGGCCTTGCTAGCTACTTTCTATTAATCTTACTTTATAAAGTTTTTCTGATTTTTCTTTTTTTATTGATTTTTTTTTATTGAGTTCGACATTTTTTTCTACTCCCCTCCCTGCCCCTTCCCTCCCATTCAACCCTCTCCCAAGGTCCCTATGCTCCCAATTTACTCAGGAGATCTTGTATTTTTCTACTTCCCATGAAGATTAGATCCATGTATGTCTCTCTAAGAGACAAACATATATGTCTAGGTTTTCTGGGATTATGATTTGTAGGCTGGTTTTCTTTGCTTTATGTTTAAAAACCACTTATGAGTGAGTACATACGGTATTTGTCTTTCTGGGTCTGGGTACCTCACTCAATATGATGTTTTCTAGATACATCCATTTGCCTGCAAGTTTCAAGATGTTGTTATTTTGTCTGCTGTGTAGTACTTCATTGTGTAAATGTACCACATTTTCCTTATCCATTCTTCGGTCAAGAGGTATTTAGGTTGTTTCCAGGTTCTGGCTGTGACAAACCATGCTATCTATGAACATGATTGAGCACATGTCCTTGCAGTATGGTTGAGCATCCCTTGGATATATACCCAATAGTGGTATTGTTGGGTCTTGAGGAAGGTTGTTTCCTAATTTTCTGAGAAATCAACTTTATAAGGTTTTAACTAGATAAAATCAGGTGCCAGGTCAAGTGGGCATAGTGCATTTATCAAAGATTATTTATATCTGGATTCCTGATTAGGACCCAATTTAAAAATAATTAAGTTATAAGTCTATTGATTATGTCATAACATTCATAGCTGTATCATCTTTGAGAGGCTCTTCAAAAGAATAGTAATTTTTAACACCTTACCTTGAAAATTTCTGTTTCATACATTCAAAAGGGGAAGTGCCCAAGCTATTGCGGTTAAAGTGAATCACTATTAAAGAGAGAGAGAGAGAGAGAGAGAGAGAGAGAGAGAGAGAGAGAGAATTTCTTGCTGAGTGGCGGTAGTGCACACTTTTAGTCCCAGCACTCGGGAAGAAGAGACAGGTGATCTCTGAGTTTGAGGCCTGCCTGGTCTACTGAGTGAGATTTAAGACAGTCAGGGCTACACAGGGAAACACTGTCTTGAAATAAAAACAAAAATGAAGCCCTTTAGGAAGTATACAATGAAAGTACGTACATACAACAGATACATGTGTGCTTATGCACACAAAAAGAGACACAAAACACACATATTCAAACACTCAAAACTAGATTTTTAGTATTTCAAAACCATTCCAGCCAGACATGTTGGAAAAACTAGTTGGAAAAACTAGCTCTAGAATTCCAGCATTTAGGAAGAAAAGGCAGGAGGATAATGAACTTGTGGTCAACATAGTAATCTCCCTTGCAAGAAGCTAAAAAAAGGCTGGGGATGTATCTCAATTGGTAGAGAGCTTATCTAGCACACACAAAGTCCTGGTTTTGGTGCCTAGCCAACCCTAAAATCCCAGTACTTCCGAGGCAGAAGCTGGAGGAAGGTGGTTCTCTTTGACTACAAAATCAATTGGCGGTACATCTAGGTAACACAAATCATTATCTCAATAAAAGCAAAGACAAACAAAAATAAAAAACATTGTTTTGATTTAAAAAGAAAAACAATCTAAATGCAGTGCAGCTAAATGCAACGAGAGGTTTAAGTTAGGCCACTGGAGAAATAGCATTCTGCTCAAAAACTGCCCGCAATTTGTATCACGTGACAAAATTCAGAGAAGTGAGTCTGGTCTCTGGCTAAGGGATTGGACTGTGGTATGGAAGATTTAGAAGGGGAAAGCTGAGGCTTCCATCAAGGTGAGAAATGGATCACGGTGGGTGCTGTCTGTCCTTGGGACCGTCAGTGAAGTGACCACGTGACTCACTTTAACTGGCACGCGTGAGGACACGTAGTGTGCACTGGCGCAATGTAACAGATATGAGGTGGGAAGAGCTTATCTTGTAGAACAATGTAAGGGAGCAGGCAGTACAAAAACGAAGAATGGTAACACGAAGGAACATTACACACTCGCAAACCTAACATCTCCCAACAAAAGCTTTATTTACGTGAAATTATGAAAACTATCTCAGTTACTTTTTTGGGCAGAAATTTCAATTTGATCTAACATGGAAACATTTACCTTTCCTCAGATTTATGTGAGAATTTTTACTCTTCCCATTGCATTAACCTAGTAACCTACAAAGTGGTTTTTCCCTCTTTCTTTTATTCTTTCTTTTGTGCTGTTGCAATAATTAAGAAGTTGGTGGATTCTATGCATTTGATCCCTTCCAAATTATCAACAGTCCACCTCCAGCAGACCCTTCCTCATTATTGGGGTTGACACAATTGGGATACATTTTCTTTTGCTATTTGTTAGGGAAAATATTAGGGGTGAGGAATACAAGTTTGTTTAACCTACCTACCATTTTCGCAGTGGAAAGAAAAAGGCACCTGAACATTTAGGATAATGTTTTGCAGTCAACCCATAGGATAAACAGAGCAAGTGACCCCCATAGAAGGAGTAGGATGGAAAGTTAGTGGGAACCCGGAGCTTGACTCGGGCACACATTTGGTCAGCCTGAGTGACTTATTATAAAACCTCTAGACAAAAGAAACTTTTTTTTCTGGGCACGTTCAAACATGTAGCATTTCCTTACCAAAGGAGCTTCCTAGCTGAACGTAAACTTCCTCCTGCTAATTAAGCACCTCAAACAGTACTTGCCAAGCCAAAGACTCTCTCCACCTGGTTTTCCCACCAGAATATATGAATGACATCCCCATGCTCCTAGAGAACACATGTCCAGTGAGGTTCCCATGGTCGGCCTCGCCTATTGTTCTAAACACAATAAGCTGGCAGGGAAGTGTGTTGTGATGCACCGACTGAGCATTTTCTAAGGTGGGGGCTGTCACTTCTTTGCAACTTCATGCCTGTTAGTGGCTAGCACAGACACAGGTATTTTCTTTTTTTTTTTTTTTATGTAAGTAAGAACCAGGCAAGAGCTTTCTTCTAACTGAAAACTAAACATGACTGCATTATATGTTGAGGACCTGAAAAAAAAAAGAAAGAAAGAGAGAAAGAAAGAAAGAAAGAAAGAAAGAAAGAAAGAAAGAAAGAAAGAAAGAA